ATATATATATATATATATATATATATATATATATATATATATATATATATATTATTTAAAATGGTAATATAATGTTAGAAAGGATCAGCTAATATCGGGTTAGATAATAAAGTATCATTATATTGTTAACGGACATATGAAAATAATGATTGAATTTAATTTTTTTTTTCCCAATTTTAGATGTTTTAGGGTTTTTTAGTTTTCTATCGATACTTCAGCATAGCTAACTATCCATACTTAAGTCACGTTATCTATCGCTACTTAAGCATAGTTAGCTATCGGTACTTCAGGCATACTTAACTATAACTATCAGTACTTAACTATAATTAACTATCGGTACTTTGCTACAATGATAACGATACTTAGCTATAGTACTGTCCCTTTCTTCTTATTAATGCTATAATTTAATCCTTATTATAGTCTATTCATGAATATTTTAAGCACATCAGAATTATGAAAATTATGAAAATTGCTTTAAATTTTCTGCTTTTGGACACAGTAAAGCTTAGGCTTTAGCGCCTACCATTTTATATGCATAATTAGCTTAGGCAATTAAGTTCGATTTTGATCAAGTTTGGCTGGCGGAAAACAAAAAGAAATGTGCAGCTGTTGCCGCTGCATTTGCTGCTCCTTTCCGTTTAACAATTTTATTGATTTTATAATTTATTTATTTGCTTTGAGTTTGGGTTCGAGTGGAGTTGAGTTGAGTTGAGTGAGCTGCAGTTTGCTGCTGTCGCCCACTGTAATTAATTTGATTTTAATGCCTTTTCGAGTGCTGCTTGCCCGTCGTCTTCTGCAATTGTGAAGAAACTTTAATGGCCGTCGCAGCAGACGTCGCGCTGCTAATTTCGCCAATTTGCAGGCAAATGCAGCCGCAACATTTACAACATCGGCGACATCGGCAACAACAGCAGCAACAACATGATGCGGCTAGTGGCCACGCCCTCTCGGGCTGCCACTCATTTTGCAGCGCTACTTAAAAATTAATTTTGTTAATGAGTTTTTCACGGTGCTTCAACTTGCAACCGGCAAAGCCGGCAACTGGCAACTAGAAACTGCCAGCTTGCAACCTGCAACAAGGCAAACTATTTACCTGCTTAGCTCAGCTCCTGCTCCTGCTCCTGCTCCTGCTCCTGCTCCAGCTGTTGCTGCTGCTGCTGCTGCTGCTGCTGCTGCTGCTGCTCCTGCTGCTGCTCTGTCCACTTCAATTCACAATTCGTATTCGTTCGTCTTTAGTTTTTAAGACAAGATAGACTTGTTTTTGCCCATTTTAGTGTGCTTTATATACGAAAGCCATTTTCATTGGGTGAAGGGAGGTATATTAGTTGTGTGGAAGTGTAGGTAACGGGCAGATGGAGAAACTGGACCTACTTGACCTGAGTTGAGTTATCTGAAACTATAGTTGATGACATATCCCTTCTATCTATATATCTTTATTTGTATATCTATTTATCTATCTATTTTTCTATCCGTAAATCCATATATCTATATATGTATCTCCTCTCGATATATCTATCTATTTATGTACCTATTTGTCCATCTATCTATTTATCTATCTATCTATCACCTACGTATCTATATATCAATCTATCTATCTATCTACCACCTATCTATCTATGTTTCTGTATATATATATTTCTATCTAACTTTCTATCTATCCATCATTCCATTTATCTATGTATCTATCTATCCATAAATCAATCTATCGAGATCTATCAATCAATTCATTCACCTATCGATATATCTATCAATCTATTTATCGATAGATCTATCTATCTATCTATGTATATATCAGTTTATCCGTTGAGCTTGGTAAATATGAAAGCTTTCGAGGGCAAAGTTTTTTAAGTTAGGATAGCTGGGTATTTAGCATATACCTTTTGAAATATGTCCCATTTTTACCACAATTTATAATTTCTGTTCATTCCTCCTGAGTCTTAACACTTAACAGAAATTCTCTGCAAATCTTGGACTCTCTTACATATGCACAAAGCTCGAATATTTAAATGGCGTTCTTTGCTGGGCTTACGCCGTCAGCTAGTCAGTCACTCTTGACTATAGCATTTGAGTATAGTTCTTCTTTTTTTTTCCTTGTTTTATTTTTTAATAATATTTCTACCACATTTTGCAGTGAATCGCTGAGCGTGCAATGCTTCCACTGGGTACTGACACGCATGCAACATGACATGGACATGATTCTGTGCGACAAGAAGCAGGCGCGTCTCTGGGCCAAGCGGCTGCATGTGGCCCTTTTGGTAAGTAAATGCTATGCTATGCATGCAAGCTAAGCTTCAATCTGAGTAGAGTGTGCCAGTGTGTGTGTGTATTAGCTTGTCGTTGTTTGCTGTTACTTATGTAAGTGCACTTCTGCGTGCACTTTGCAAAATCTGAAACGCTTCTCCTGAATCAAGGCTTAAAACTTAAGCCAACTTCAACTAGGCAACTGGTAACTGGCAACTGGCAACGGCTTCGGCTACCTCAATGTAAGCCTCATGTTGTGCCAATTGAAGCTGAATCCATGTACTTTAACAATATTTTGTATAAGCTGCAGATTATAATGGACGCGCTTAACCCCAACAGAAATCTCGCCAAGAGAACATTTCCATTTGATTCGCTATAAATAATAAATAGAAAAGGCCAACATGCATTTGGGTGCTTAAAATATGTAAATGTTGTCGGGGAAGAACTAAAGCGGACATTGTAGTCTTGTAGAAATAATCTGTATTCACTTGAATGTTTCCATGTAGTAATAGGATAAGATGTATGTAGATTATTATTTTGGTATAGTATTATACTTGTATTAGTGAAATACTAGAGCAAGTTTGTGAAAACTATTGGGAAAAGGCTTTTGGATTTTTGATATATTTTGTAAACTTCTCTTTTGTTCCTACTTTGTATGTATTATTAAGCTTGTTAAATAACTTCCTAAATCTCTTAGTTTTTTGATATAAGATCTTAGGCGTCTTCAATTTTGTCTTTATAGATTTAGTAAAGCCTATGCCTGTGGCTCATCTCCTGTTTACTATCTCAAAATGCTAAAAGATTTGACTCTCAGATAACCTCAATTAACCTAAATGTAGGTCAAAGCTAAGGCACATGCTCGCAGATCCCTCTTGGCAGATTAATCCAGTATACCTGCCCAACCACCTTAACTTTATTGCTATCTAACATCACGTATTTTTTGACCCATACTAAATTTCTCACGTTTCACACCCGCAGTGCTTAGATTTATTTTAAAGCTTGATTGAATTTCCGCTTTCTTTTCTGTAATTTAAATTTGTAAAATATCTTGCTTGGCTTAGAAGTAAGTAAGAAAATTCCCATTAATTCATTTTGTATTATCAACTACACTCAATGAAGTCTCTTTAAAACATTTACGCATTAACGACAAATAAGTGGTTAAATAATTTGCAGAATTTATCTATAAATTTCTCATTGAATCGAATTATTTGCGCTCAACTAATTGCAAATGCATTTCACACTTGCAGGCATGCCTCAAATGTCTTAAATGGTTGACAAACACATTAATGCTATAAGGATATACTTAGATATTTCTCACATCTCTATTTTTTCTTCTTGTTTCTTAATTAAAGACATTCCGTGAATTGCTGCAGAGCTTGCTGGCCCTGCAGAAGCTGAAGGATGATGACAACGCGCGTGGACTGTTCGATATGTTATTGAACAACGTGTGCTATGTGCTGGAGTATAGGGAGACAATACTGCATTTGTTAATGAACTACAATGAGGCGCACAGCACAAAGTGAGTAACCAAGCACATAACTATCAGTGAGCCCTTAAAACATATTGGAAATAACTTGAATGGCATGCCAGACAGGCAGCCGGCCAGCAGGAGGCGTTAGACGCCCATGCCTGATTGCTACTGCTGCTGCTGCTGCTGCTGCTCCTGCTGCTGCTGCATGTTTGATGGGAGATTGAGCCTTGATAGTCACAAATAACTAAGGCAAACACACAGACACTCGCACTCGCTCTCACGCCCAGTAGATAGCAGCTGCTTAATAGGATTACCAAGTGGAGCTGCTGCTAAGCCGAAAATATGTATGCAGCTACTAACTGGCATTCGAAGCTGAGTGCTTGGCTAAAACCTTTCGACCCAATCGACAATCAGGCATTGTTTGTCTTGACGGCATGCCTTTGTCTTAAGTCTTGGCATGTTTGTTTGGCTATTTGCGCAGCTGTCTGTCTCTTTCTCTGTGTATGTGTGTGTCTGCGGGTGTGTGTGCATTTACAACAACAACAACAACCAATGAACTAGTTGCGCTTTGAATTTCGACAGCCAGCGAAAACTTTAATTGATTTTACAAGCATGTGCTGCACGCGTGCTCTGGCATTAAAATTATAGAATTTGCCAGCTCACACAATTGGGTGGATTGGGTTGGCTTTGGTCCGTCGATGTAAGCGAGATTCTGGCACGCAGCACATGTTTTGTATACCCTGTACAATCGAGAAATGGGGTGTTCACTAGGTTAAGCGAAGGTCTACATGGGGTTAACAGCTCTGATATTTATTGTTGATTTTTGAAGAATATTTAAGAATTTGGACTTGATAAATATCGATCGATATCGATGAACATCGATAAAGATTGAGGATAATGAACTAACAAATACATATTTAAGTATAAGATTGTAAACGCGTAGCTGATTCGATAGATATCGATTATTGTGTAAAGCTCTTATGGTGGCATACCTCGAATGATGATATGATATAGATAGTACCATAACAAGTTTTCACCATAATCGATTGATCTTTTGAATATGAATTAATTATCTATAACCATATATCAGCTCATATAGACTCATCATCTATAAAAACTTCTAGGTGGACAACGATAAGAGTGTTTCATAATCATCAATCATCAATCTGTAATGATATTAAGCTGTTACGATTCTGTTAAATGTACATTTACTGATTTTCGATAAATATCGATTTGACATATTTGTGTATTATATCTATAGAGTAGACAATCGATAAACTACTACATTTCTCTTGCACACCCTTCACAGGATATTTTCTAGTCGATCTTGTAGTACTCGTATTGCTATTTCGGTTTGGGCCCGTACCAGGGCTGCATTTCAATTAGCAAGTTCATAGCTGACAGCAGGTAGGATCTACCCCATAACTGATTTACATAGTTACTTACACACGCAGTGGGCATGCACTGAGCTCGCTCTCACGGCGCTCATTAACACAGCACACGGTCGCTGCCAGTTGGTTGGGTCTGTTACTCCACTAAATAACTCGACTGTGGATCGGGGCAGCAACAGCAGCAGCAGCAGCACCTCTCGGCATCTAGCTGTGGACCGAATGCGTGCCAGCACTTTCAATTGCCATTAAGTTGTGACGAGATTTTCGTAGTTTGCACTCTTGAAGGTTTTCTTTGTCTTTGTTGGCCCCCGAACTAATCCATTCCATTTAGATAATTGCAATTTTTCGCCTGTGTGTGTGTGTGTATGGGTATTCAGCAAAGCGTTTTCCACTTGCACATTTCTAAGCGGATGCACAAATTTGTCTGTCAAACAAACTGGCTCAATGCGGTGCAGTCTGTCGATCCGATCCACCTGCAATAAATGCCGGGAAAGTGTGTTTTTGTGTCACACACAGCCAGCGACTGCAAATCAAACTAAAACAAATGCAAATCTCTACCATGGGAAATCAGCGTCGTTATTCATCAAATTGCATCAGCCAGAACCTTCAGCTCATCCTTTCGATATGCTACCTCTGCTCCGTCGAGTGCAAAGGCTACGCAATCGTATTGCTTCAACTCTCCTGTGAGTTGCAACTGTATTAGGTATTAATATTGGTTCGCTCTCGACTTGACTCTCGTTGGTGCATTTAATATTTAACATATATTTATATTTACAAATGAAATTGGCAAGGAGGATTCAGTTAATAAAATACAGATTGAACTTTACCAACGGAGTTTCAAACCTGTGAAACCCGTGAAACTGAAGATTTTTATGCTATATCTATTTGCATGTCAGAAAGTTATAAAAGTGATGGAAATACTTTTTCATTTTTTTAAAGTATTTTTTAAAAGTATAATAACTTTACAATATTTATTTGCATAATAATATGTATAAATTAATCGCCATTTGGCTTAGTTCGTTCCACTGTGCGCGTCGCACACACACAAATCGCTGGCAATCGGTTGGCAATGATAGCTGGGGTTCAATGAGTCAGTCTCGATGAAGAGCTGGACACAGATACAGACAGATATTAGATGGATTGCAATGCAGTCGGCATACTCAAAAGCACTGACTAAATTAATTTAGCGCGCAAACAGGAAATTGACAGCGAGCGGCAATTGAGAAAATGCAGTTGCGAAATACACGACGAACGCAACAAGGACGAACTGTGCTGGCTTTGGTTTAGTTCTGACTAGTATATGTGTGAAGGGAGGATGAGAGTTGGATGTCTACATATACTTATATAAGTAAATACACTTTGTAGTTACTCGAAAACTGAATGGGAGCATTAAATATTTGAGAATGTTACGAGTAATGAAAAATTCCTTAATAATTAGGATTAGAATTGTATATCTTTCATTTAGAATCGTCTCTATATAGTTAAGGCGCTAAATGATTAAGGAGTATTTTTGTATTTTTTTAAGTATACCCTCTAAGCGTGTGTTTAGCAGCTGGTTTTCCTATTTTGATAAAAATATATGTATCCATATATAGAATATTGTTTGTAATACCTTAACAGAATACCTAAACTAAAATCTATAGGTTAAGCTCTCAAGTTCGATACACTTCGATACATTATTATCGATTTCAAGAGATGTAAAAATGCTCATAACAAACTTAAATTGTACTAAAATAAGTCCTATATAAATCTTGTTAAGATAATACAATAAAAAGGAATAATAGGAAGAGGTTACATTGATAAAGATGAGATTAACACTGAAGGGATGGAATACAGCTATGAAGCTAAGTCTCTCATGTAAATCAGATAGAAAAGATAAAGTCATTAGAGCTAAGCACTCTGAAAGAAGAGAAGAGCAGAATGTGTATATAAGATGTCTTTATAAGAAATCTCTAACATGGATCCTATAGAGGAGATAATGTTATTCGAGTTATGAGTTATGAGTTATCTAGGATAAGCAGGCCACCTTTAATAATAGTAGGGTATCTGTTAGTCGTATTTGCATCTCAATCTTATTCAAGCGCTAATATTAACACTTAAGACAGTTGCAATTGCAGCTGTCAAAAATTAGATGAATCGATTAAATATTAAGTTGCAAATTATGCAAATCTATTTTAGAGATTGCATTCAATTAATCTTAGCAATTAGCGATAAAAGCAAGTGCCGTTGCCGTTTTCGTGCTGCAATCAGGGCAATTTGAGTGCCTGAGAGAAATTGAAGCCTTTCGGCATTCGCATGAATTATTTATGAGCTGAGGCACATTTACAAAGTGGGAGCCAAAAAGTGGGTCGGCCTTTGAGTTTTGCCCGCCTGCAATCAGCGCCCATCACTCATTGTTGAGTGTTTGTTGTTGCTGTTGTTGTTGTTGTGGTTGCTGCTGCTTACGTTGTTGTTGTTGTTGTTGCTATTGTGTTGCTGTCATAATTAATAATATTTTCATTATAAACGTCTTATGGCAGGGAGCAGCGAGCTCGCTAACCATTTGCCCCGCTACTGAGCGCAATTACATTTTATCATTTATTCAACATGCGCTCAAACTTGGCCCCGCTGAACAAAGCCACGCCCATCCCTTTTCCACAGCGCCCACCCAAACCACAGTTTGCGCCCGTAGCCTTCTAATTAATTCTATGCGCTGCCCAACATTGTTGTCAGCTGTTGTTGTTGTTGCTGTTGTTGCTGTCGTCCATTTAATCAGCGTAAACGCGAATATCAAATCAAGCATGGCCAGTTACAGCAGCAGCAGCAGCAGCAGTAGTATTAGCAGCAGCAGGAGCAGCAGGAGCCGTGGCAGCAACAAGCCGCGTGCATAACAAATTAATTATAAATAATTTATTAACGATTTATCTTTGTCTCATTTGGCAACACATGAGTTTGAGCTATGCTGCAACTGAGTGCGACTCTGTGTGTGTGTGTGTGTGTGTGTGTGTGGCATGAGTGTCGCTTCGCTGCGTTTTAGTTGAAATCGATTTGTTGCCTGCTGTAAACTGTTTTGGTGTGGCATGCAATTTGTTCTGCTACCTCACAAGCACCTACACATTTATGCAATATATATATGTATGTACATATCTATATGTTTACATACACACACTTTCACGATGTATAGTACACCCACATTCCACAAACTGCGGTTGCTTGGCTTTGCGGTCAGCAAATAGCAGCAGTTGCACATGCGACCAGCCCCACTTTAGCCACGCCCCGCCCCGCCCAGCTTGGCCCTGCAGCTAGCTTGGGGCACAGCTATACAGGTGTCATCAGCATGATAACTGTGAATATATTGATATAGAGCATGCCCAAGGATTATTTGAGTTTCACAATTATGCTGAAAGTGCTTTCGATTGAGCTGCGCTTGAAGGGCCTGAAAGCGTTTTGATGATTAAAGTGAATTCAAAATTGCTGATTAAGTGTGAATAACTGTTGAATGTTTACCTATTGCGTCATATAATACATTATTTCGAGCTTGTTTATCTTATAAATGTTTTTAATTAGTCTAAGCTATAATTGACAGCAAATCGATAATTATCGATAGCTGAAATATAAGCAAAGTTTCACGTGTTAGTTTGTAATTTCAGTTAGACATTCAGATTTTAGCGATTCCAATACATAGATGCATTATTTCACATATATTATCTCATAATCTCTTTAACTTTTAATAAATGCCAACAAATCGATAGTTTTCTATAACTCAAATGTCATGTCATGTTATCCTAATACTGTCCTATATTTCGTGTATGCCATTGCATAAATGCATTTAGTTATGCCGAATGATAAATCGCAATACATCGATAATTATCGACAGCTGTAATGCGAACTAATGCTCGCTTAATGAGTACAGAATTTCACGTATGTCATTAATTTCAACATCCAAACACTGGGCGTTCATTTTCATGCTCCACTTGCTGCACCATTTGCTGCCACTTGCCACTTGCGGCAGCCATTGACAGTGTTGTGGTAGGCGCAGCGATTGCTCTGGATCGATTGCATTCTATGCGAGCTATAATCAACGGAACATTCGATGCAATTGGTTGGTTTTAATGTACAGCACAGCACAACTAGTCGACGTTATCTGGCACAGCCAAAGGCAGCAAATTATCAGCGAGTAGCGGGCGTTACCTATGACCAAAAGTGGACCGCCCGAAAATCGGAATGTTTTCAATTTAAAAGCGAAATCATGTTAACTGAATGAAAACTTTAAGTAAACAAATGGATAAGTGATGCGGATTGCTAGGCTGGCGTATACCCTGTATGAAATGCAGGAAGGTTTATATATCTTATTTTGTACAGGGTATTTGTTCAATTAGTTTTTAATTCACTCGTACACTTACTATGTTCAATTACAAAATCTTTGATATATTTGACTTTGCTAATTGACTAAATATTCACGGAGTTTTACATCGAATTTCTGCTTACCTAACGCTACCTCTGGGCAAAGTGTGGTTGTCCCATGAAGGGTGTGTTTGTATGTGTGTGTGTGTGTGTGCCGACAACCAATTTCATTACAAATGCATTTCCCTTGACAGAAGCTGCGAGGCTCGTCCTGCGGCATATTGACCGCATTTTGGATTATTCTGCGAGTTTCTAGCGGGCTCTATTTAAATTCGCAATGAATCTGCATAAATGTTGCAACCAAACAGTGTTAACTTGTTAATACCCTAAGTATTGATAATTAGAGATTGATGAGCCCAAAATTATATAAATAGTATTATGATAATCTAAATATATAAGCAACAGAACTAAGACTTAAAGTCAATACAAAAATTCCGTGTAATTCATCACACTCAAATAACTCCCAAGTCTGCCATGCAGGGTATGTTTGGGCTACGCACACTTCTCTACACTATTTGCACTAGTTATATGTGCTATATTTGGGAGTGGGGCCCCCACGAATCGATCAGCTCTAGCAATTACAGAGCGCGCCAAAGGACCCCGTGCACAAGGATATGCCCGCACATATGCAAATATTGCAAAATCATGTTTGAGGGGAATTTCAACAATAGCCGCGCATTCAACGCATTTATCCGATAATTTTTTTTTTGATGTCGTTTGGTAATTTGGCAGTTTAAATACCCTGTAACGTATAGACTTGAAGGGAAAAACTTCTGAGTTGGTTTATATATTATTCACTAGACTGCCGTTGGAGTAAATTGCATATTGAGATTGTGGGTTACGAGAAGCAATGAATTCTATTATGGTAATAAACTATTACCTCAATGTATCAAGTGGTCTGTATTATTTACCATATCTGCACAAAGGGAAAAGTGCTAAATGCTATCAATGTCGATACTTTTTAATCGATTATGACAAAATGAATTTTGATTTGTGAAGAGTTCGCTGACCAATCGATGACTACTATCGATAAAACTTTTTTGACAAACAGAAAATAGAACTTTTAGCTGGAAACAGACTATCTGGCTATCAATATGTAGTATATTTTGAAAGGAAATATTTAGTTGATATATTTAGATTATTTCTATATAGAAAATGTATATCGATTAAGGGTGTCTATAGTCATCTACAGTATTTATTATGTTTAAAATATTTACAACTGTACCCTTAATTCCATCCAGACGCAGATTATACTTCATGATGTTGGCAAATACTATCTAGAATTTATATATATGATTACATTATCGATATATATCGATAGCTCTAGCTAGGTGAGACTCCTGCTCATGCCAGCTCTTTTATATGAAATACTTTCTGTCCTTTGCGAGTTTATGCAAATGAATGGGCATACCATGGCCTATCATCAATAGGTATTCCTCATTTTGCCTTGTTTGCATTGTCCTCTTCTATGACGCGCGCGATTTTCATTATTCAAACGGCAATCAATCATTTTAACAAATTGACGTTCACAATGACGTTGGCTTTTTATTCAGCATTTTATTTTTTTCTGTTTTCTTTATTTTCATGTTTTTTATTTTAGGTTTTGACTAAAAACAATGGCAAAGTTTTGCCCATTGCTGGCTATGCGGCAGCTGATTTTGGCATTTTGTTGGCTTTCACAATTTTTTTTTTTTATTTTATTTCACGTTGCTGCTTCCTCGCAATTTCCCTTTTAAGGTTAATTTGCTAATTGGAGGCGTCATCGGCATTGACAGGGCCAAAGGCAACGGCTTCAGCCACATCATCAGTCAACGACATCCTTCGAATTGAGTTGGGCTAGTTAAGCTAAGGCAAAAGGTTGCTTGGCCGTTTTAATGTGCTCGATGATTTTCAATAAATGTGGAGAGAAGTGGGAGAGAGAGAGAGAGTGAGTGAGAGAGAGTGTGGGAGTGAGGGAGAGCTGCTGCTGTGTATGGAAATGTTGCCTTGATTGGGTTCGGCCTGACTTTAAGCTGATTTGTGGTATCAGATGCGCTTAATTAAGTTCTTAAAGGCATGATTAATATTATTTGTGAGTGTATTTTTAGCAGAAGTTCTTAGTTATTTAATTGTTATATATTAACTAACGTTGTTCAAAGCTTCATTGGCAAGTTAAATTGTTTATCAATAAATTGATTCAGGGAAAGTCAACATAGTGTTGTTGTTGTATAGCAATAGAAATAAGATAAAATATTGTTGTGCATATAAAATGCAATTGGCTCATTTAATTGAATTTCCAGCATGTATGGCCGCATTTATGTATATACGCATGTATAAATGTAGCATGCAGATAGGTATAAATATACATATATATTTATTTTATATAGTTTCTTAATTGAATTAGTGCATGTGTATGCAATAATTTGATTTAGTAACCAACCAACCAATCTGTGCTTTTGTCCACAGGGTATTCCTGCGCGACGTGGTGGATACGGCAAATGTGTTTATTAAAATGATGGAGCGCTTCTGTCAGGATGCAGTCGTTGTTCAGGATAAACGTCGTGGTAAAAATAAGAAGAAGAAGAAGCAACAGACATCCAACAAACCGTCCAAGTCATCCAAACAGCCAACGGAGGTGAGTCGAAAGTCGGTGAAAATTGAATTCATCTTTAATGCTTATAAATAAATTGCTGCATTAAATGACATTATTTGGCTTGCGGGCGCTGCCCGCCGGGCACTGGGCACTGGGAACTGGGCACACTGGCCACTGGCTGTTAGCTGCTGGTTGGCCCGCTGTGTGCGCCATAAAATATTCTCTAAATTGCCAATAAAATTTAAAACAAATAGCTCCAAAAGCGACCAGCAGCCAGCGAGCAGCGAGCGGGGTCAAAAAACAATTGTCGTCTAGCATAAAGACGGGGGCAGTGCGAGCCAGATTTATAGGTTTGATCATGAAATTTAATTGACTGAAAATATGGTTAAAAGTGAAATAAAATAAAGTCGCGATAACGCCGCGACTGTTGGCTGCATTTAATTACTGGCCTCGCCTCTATTTATTTATGTTCTAGTCACTTCGACTATTTATTATGGCGTACAGTGAGAGAGAGAGCGCTCTATACACACTCCGATTGACATTAATCTTCCATACGATTCGATTCGAAAATATTTCCAAGTCAATTAAAGTTTACAAACTTTTGCACAGTGTATTAAAAATAAGTTAGAAATCTGTTTTCAGCTTGCAGGGCTTGCAAAAGTTCTTTATCAAGAGGGGGCATAACTTTGTTGCCAACCGACTTTTGTTATAGACTTTTCTTTTGTTTATTTTATTATTTATTATTTTGTTTTCTGTGCACTCAACTTTGCTTTACAATTTAAAAATAAACAAATTTGATTAAATATGTTGTAAATAGGTCAAATAATCCGGATTGACAAATATTTTTAGCTGAAGAGACCTTAAAGTTTTATAAGGGTTCACTTTATTTTTTTTTTATACTTCTACAACTGCGCTTATTAAAGAAACTTCCGCTGTGCTGTCTCTCACAATGTACTTTTGCAGAACGAAAATTTTTAGTCCACTGACAAATATAAAGACCTCATCTGTCTCGCTCTCACTCAGCAACACACCACATTACTTTCAGCAACAGCCATCGCTTTCTCGCTGTTATGGTGTGAGAACGAGCTTAAAATGATTTAAGCAATAGTTAAATGCGTGTGTCTCTATCGCTCTCTCTCACTCTTTCATGGTGTGATAAAAAGTTAGAAATTATCTAAGACGCAAACCTGCTCAGCAAAAAGGCAGCGATCTGCGACTCTATCTCTGTCTCTCTTTTATAGTATGATAACAAGCTAGTCATCTAAGACACAAACCCGTTCAGCCAAATTCAGCGATCGTTGTATTTCTGTTTTTTCTTGAAATCACAGTTAGAGCTAAAAACCAGCCAAGTTTTGATTGATTATATTTCTGGGTATATTATATTTTTTAATTTTCGCATATATCGTATATAATATTATTTATAATTTATGTCATTCATAATAAAATTTAAAGCTTGCAAAACTCTTAGAGAGCTTAGCAATTAGAACAGAAATTCGCGTTTTAACAACACTTTTTACTATGTGTTGCTTTATGGCTGCTTATATTTTGTTTTGCTTGCATGAATAATAAACTCAGCTAGTGCCATGGTTTTTATGTTTCTTTTTGCTGCTGTGTTTTTTAAACACTTTGACGCGTTACAAGCGCCGTCGAGCGTGATTTCCGGCCAGAGCCAACACTTGGCTCGTTTTTCTGCAATCTCCATACAAGCTAGCCCATGGCCACCACCACGCCCCTAACCACAGCTGCGCCAAGGCTCACATTGTGCGGTTCTGTTGCCGCCATTTTGTGTGGTTCGAACGGTGTGGACGGACTTCAGTTTGTACTTTATTTTTATTTTATTTTATGTTTTTTTTTTTTTTTTTACACAAAAAAATGAAAAAAAGGAAAACATCAATTGTGCTAATTTCTGACATATTTATTTGTACAGTCCATGCAAGCTTTTGCTTGTGCCTTGTAACAATTGTTGTACGCACACACACACACACACACACACACACCCACATAGATACACATATTTTGTGCGTCAATTAATTTGTGAAATGTGTGTGTGCGACATTTGTTAAAGTACCAACAAACAAGTTAAACGCACGAATTCACAAATATTGAACAGCTTTTGTCCGCACCGTATTCTATAAATGCTGTTAAAATATCATGAAAAAAGTAGAGAAAAAAGAGAATAACAAGCGAAATAAAATGAATAAAAATTATATATATTTATATATATGTAAAACAATGGCAAAATGTGTTGAAAATAAATGAAAATCTCACAGTTGGCTTTGCGCATTTACATATGTTATATATACATATAAATATTATATATGTTTATGGGATTACAATTTGAAAATATGCTGCGAATAGCGTTGCTTTCGATATAGTGCATATATTGTTAACATGCTCGATAAGAGCATGTTAACACAGGCCAACAAATTTTGTCAATAGCAACGAAAGCGCATAAAAACGTTTTTTACAATATATAAATATATTCATATGACAATATACCTTATAAAAAATATATAACTCTTCAATCCCATTAAGACTTTTTGCTTGCTTAACAATTTAATTTGAAATAAATATTTTTTGGATTATAAAAATATAGTAGTAGTATATCAAGTTGTCTTGCTTTGCCTTTCTGTAGGGTATCTAGTGGTTAAGCTGTCTGTTCTCCACTATTTAAGCTTTGCATTTATGACATTTTAAATGTAATTGAATTTTCTTTTTTAAAATATCTATAATGTTTTGGGTTTTACAGCAGCTGTTTAACATTTTTTTTTTTCTGTTACATATTTTTTTGGGTTTTATATTGAGAGAGACAAGAATAAGCATATTTTTAGCTTTTCATTGATAAAGTCAACTATTATAAATGTATACTAATTAATGTATGAAAAAAGATTTATCTATAATCATAATTTGTCTAAATCGACTTTAAATATACAAAATAATATCGGTATGAATAGAATCGGCTTATAAACGCAATCAATGGAACAAAAGAGAATGTTTTTTTATTTGCATAAATGCATATAGAATTTTTTACTATGTATAGATATTTTTATGAGATACTTTGTTGTGATTAATTAAAAAATGTGAAAAATGCAAAATGAAAAGTTTGTTATGCATAGTATCATATAATAGAGTTTTTTTTTTGTGGTATATATGGTTTCATAATTTGTATACTGTTTCATAAAACCAAGTTTTACTCAGCATTTTTTACATTTATAATTAATAGCTCAAAGTTTCTTATAAATATGAATTCATTCGGTTATTTTAGATCATAGCTAAACATATAGATTATAATCCAAGATGAGTTCTATTAAACACTTAGACAAACTATTTACAACAAAAATGGATTAAAATATATGATAAATATAAAATAATAAAATCTACCAAAATCTTAATACAATTTAAGTCTTAATGATAATGATAAGCGGAGAAACTTTCGGCATATACTACATATATATATATATATATATATATATATATATATATATATATATATATATATTTATATATATATATATATATATATATATATATATATATATATATATATATATATATGCTCTTTAAAATTATATTTTATGTCAGTCAATTAGCATATTCGTCAAGGCAGCTGCAGCAGACGAAACTTTATGAAAAGGCAACTGTATAGAGTTAAGGATATTGGCTTATTTTTCATATTTTAAAGCTCTTCTACCTTTTTGCTACCTTAACAGGAGGAGCTGGCCACCAAATGGGCTGAAATGGCATCGGAGGTGAGTTTGCTGCTGGCCACAGAGCTGCAGTTGCCGGAGGAGCAGCAGCCGCTGCCCTTTGATGCCACCTTGGAGAAGTCCATCGACGATCAACGGTGAGTTAGCATTAATGTATATGAGAAGGGAAGAATCCTTTTTAAAAATGCAATATATATATATGTATATCCTTTTTATGCTTGCAGCGAGGACTGCATGATGCGCATAAATAAATTGCTGCGCAACGCTAAATTGGAGTCGGCGATTGCCCTGCTGCGTGCTGCCAGGTGAGTGTCCTTACTTGTGTTTCCGTGTCCTTCAAATGGAGCAACAAGCTCCAGCACTGCCGTAATCCTTTGGAAAATTTCTACCTTTAATAACTTGACATTGACTGTTGGCCGCCATTGTGCGTCAGCGTTCGCCGTGCACAAAAGAAAATTCACATAATAAATTAAGTCAGGTAAAAAGAAAATGTGGGAGCTGCTCGGGTCGCTTGGCTATTGTTGTGCTTATTTTTGGCAGAGCTTTTCCTGCTTTCGTATATCGTTTTTATGCGTTTCTTTTTGTTTTTTTTTTGTTGTTTTTTGGTTAATGCGAATTTCATATTTTGTGCAGCGATTTTCTGGCTCAAACTGTCCTTGCTGTCTGCCCATCTCTTGCTCTCCCTCTGGCTGTCTGTCTGTCTGTTGTGCTTAAATTAAATAGTTTTCATTTATTGCGAAGGTAGCCACGCAACGGGGACTCAACTGCCCAGGTGGCTCCGGTTGCTCTGACAGATAATAGCAGCCAGGGCACGGAATTCCTTGTTCAGCTCTTGATGCTGCTGTCGCTGCTGCCGCTGCTTCTGTTTCTGCTCCTTTTTCTGCTCCTCATTATGCGCCATCAACTTGTGTCAGTGGCTTTGGTTGGCTCCTGGTCGCGCCGCACCACAGTTGAGTTCAAGGCGAGCAGCCTTTCGATTTAATTGCCAGCTCAATTATGTTAAGCCTTCCTCACTCTTACTCTCACACTCTCACACTCTCACTCTCTCTCTCTCCCTTTCTCTCTATCAATGTTTATTGTTTGTGCTGGGAAAATTACGTGAAAATAAATAATTTACCATCGCTCGCGTCGCGTGTTTCAACTCCCTCCGCTCGCTCACACTGACAAACACACAAGATGCGAGCTGTCCTCGCTGTCAAAGGCCGTTGTCGTCTGACAGCAGCTATCGAAATGTTGCTTAAATATTTCCAAGTCATTTATTTATCAAATATCATTAAAACTTTCCACCTGCTGCACGCCGGGGATTAAATTGCGAGAATCATGCTGTTTGAAACAACGCAACAATTGTTGACAATGCTGCGAGCGTCCAATTAGATGACTGTAATTGGTGGTATGACTAATTTATACGCCTTGTACCTAAGAAATATGCAGAAGGCACTGTAATGACAAATGAAATGAAAACTTATTTCTAATAGAATGTACTTTCATTATCAAGTTATACTAAATTTTCTTATATCGTTTACAATTCAAAGGTCGCTTTCTATTTGCTCAACATTTTTAATACCGTTAATATCGTACTATTGATACTTATCGACTATAATCAATATCTGTCGATTACTATCAATGAATTTAGATTACAATTGATAAGTGTTGAATACAAATGATTAATATAAATGTCAATATAACATTGCTGACTACAATCGATAAATATAGACTACAGTCGATACATTATAATTGTATACTGGAAAAATATATATTTAGAAATCAACAAATATCGACTAAAAACGATAGATATTAGATAAAATAGATAAATATAGATTGAACTCACTAAAAATATATCGTTAAATTAATAAATATCGACTAAAATCGATAAATATATTAATATAGTCGCCTATATATTACTTCACTTTCCCACCTAATCTAAATATTTGTTTGATTCAAATCGATATATATAAGATCAAATAGATAAATATAAATTAAACGCAAGAAAATTAATAAATGTCGATTAAAATCCATAAATATTGGCTTCCAGTCGGCTATATACTTCTTTACTATCGCACCTAATTCAAATATTTGTATCTCTTATCACAGCTTAAGCACTACATTGCTATTATTCTACCTACAGGGTATTCAGCTATTCTAGCAACTGTCTTGTTTTCCAATTAAAATACGCAGTTGTATATACTTGTATTGAAACGGAACAATAGAATGAAAGATTCCCTTGATTGTCTAGCCGTTTGCATTTTCGTTTGCCTTACATGGCGTATACGCAATGTAGCCATTGTAATGCTTCATTTAAATTTATGTGCATTTTAATTGTTGCCAAAGAAATTGTTGCATTAAAATGTATGAAGCGGCAGTTGGTAGTAGTTGTTGTTGTTGTTGTTGGTGCCTCTGCTGCTGTTGCTGCTGCAGCAGCAGCTTAAAAAGGTCTAGACGCTTTTTGTGCTAATAAATTAAAATGCGATATGCATAGACCCTGAATGCGCACCCGCTGCACCCACAGCACCCACTCGACTGCCTTTTGTCTGCAACTTTTTCGCACTTGAGGTCGAGGGGGAGTTGTTGTGCTGTAAATGTTTTTTGCTGCCTTCGAGAAGAATTTTTGGGTAAACAAAATATTGAAAATAAACTGGAGTGTGGCCCATACACACACACACACACACACACACATGCGAATGGTCTGCTTGCATATGTGTCTGGCCTGGCATGTAAGTGCCAGCTAGTGGTAGTGCCCTTGCCCCCAAGACCCCAAGATCCCGAGTCTGTGCGCGGCTACCAACATTTTAGATACTTGCCAAGTCATACTCCATGTATATACATATATATATGTATATATACTATTTTTTTTCCTCCCCATTTTAATAACCAAATAAAAGGGAGCGTAAAAAAAAAGAGGAACGAAAATAAAATAGAAACTGAAAACGTTTTGGTTTTTGCTGCTCTCGCCCGGCGGCGGGTTTAATGGCAGCGTCGAGCACTGGAATGTCAGCTTGAAAAACTTTTAAGTGAAGTAAATGCGCAAAATGTTTATTCAAACTTCATTTAAGCTGCAACTCGCAGTCGGCTATGCTGAGGCCCAAACCCTCCGCCCAACCAAACGAAGACAACGCAGCGTTTGCCCAGTTGCCTCTTAACTAAGCTTATGTTCAGCAGCGTCTGCTGTTGTTGTTGTTGTTGTTGTTTCTATTGCTGGTGCTGCTCCTGCTGCTCCTCCTGCTCCTTCTGTTGCTGTTGCTGCAGCTGCTTCGCTTATTTAGCAATGTTGCAATGTTGACAGTCGCTGCTTTGCATTTAAAGCTTTTAAGCTGGCTTGTAGAGCATGTTTAGCCAATTTATCAAGCTATGTGGCAATAACTTAGGATCCAATAAAACGCGGGCTATGCAATATTATAAAAGGAATTTTTTTTCTTAGTTTGTTACAAGTATTCTTATTATTATTATATATATTTATTTTAAAAATAAATTAAAAATATTTAATATAAACTTAAAGTTGTGAAAGTATTGCCAGATCAACATAGAGTTAAGAAAAATACAAAATTATATTTGCTAAATTTTGTGATCACATATATTTGATTACCTTAAACTATTCTAAACTAGAATCGTTATTATGACCTTTTGAATAGGTGTGAGTATACGTACATATCAAAAATCAAGAAAGTTATAGATAAAACTGCAAATATTTTATTTTTACAAATTTTATGTACAATGCATTGTAGTCACTATATCTTCAATCTGGATACTTATTAAATAATAAATATACATAGATTCATTCGCTTCTGTTGCAGTTGCATATGTTCTGCTTGGTTTATTAACTTCTCTATGTAGAAACCACTTCAGTAGTATTATTATATATCCTCTTATATGAATAATATATAACTTTACTCTATAATCGCAAGCATTATTGATTGCAATTGGTGTTCGTGTGAACCACATTGTCGGTCCCATATTGGCCCGTTATTCCGCAAATAACCCACATTCGATTCACCTGAACTGTATAATTAACCATATTTGGTGCCCAGTTCTGTTGCTAATTAGCCAGGATGCAAGTGCAAAAGTTGTGCATTAAATATATATTTAAAATGTGTGTGTGTGTGTGTGTGTGAGTGTGTGTGGCATAAGTTACCAATGAACTCGTGATGCAGGGCCAGCGGCAATTAGCAGTTGGCCAAAACCAGAAAACTATTTGTTATGCAAAATGTTCACCAAATACTTTTTATGAGGGTGTACGGCAGAGCGCGGTAACTGTGTGTGTGTGTGGCATGTCTTTCAATTTATTGGCGCTTGACGGTGGCAAACATAAGTTGCGCTATCAGTAGCAGAACATAACGCGGCGCCAACTGAATTGTTCCCACAGCAGCTGCCACGCTGCCTGCTAGCTAACGATATGAGTGGTGAGGCAGCCAACGATGCAAAGCATGTTGCAAGTCGATAAATCTCTCGCTCTCACTCTCGTTCGCTCTCTCTCTCACTCTCTCTCTCTCTCTGTTCTACTTGCTTTCTAACTGCGTGCGTAGTTGGATATTAAGCTGCTTCCAAATATTAAATTAACAGCAACGACAACGTTGCAAAGCCTGCAACTGGTGTATGCTGCAGACACGCGCACACCAACACCCACCCGCACACGCACACACACACGCATACACATGCAACTGCCACACGCAAGGATTATTTGTGTGCTGCACCAAAAATGCGGCCCCAAGTGCAACACGGTGCGGCAGCTAGCATGTGATGCAAGCAACTGCCATTGCCAGTGGACCAGCTTTCTATTTGTTGTGCGTGTGTATGAATATCACACACTCTCTCTCTCTCTCTCTCTCTCTCTCTCTCTTTAACTTTCTCTGTCTGTGTGCAACACGAGAAATTTTAACGCAATTTTAAGCGCATCAATTTCATTTTGTGAAAGCTAAAAGCCCCGCTTGTTGCATGTCCAGCATACGCAGCGTGCAACATGATGTGCACGCTGGTTATTGTCATTACAAAAAAATTGCTATTGTTGTTGTAATTGCTGCTGTTGTTGATGTTGTTATTGTTGCTGGGATATAGGCCATGGCTTAAGGTCGACTTTATCGTGTGTGCTTTTAGAGCGAGTTTTTAATTGGATTGATGCAGCAGCTGTGTTTCGGCAGACTCTTCTGCCTTTTGTCTTGTGGAAAGTAGTTGATTTAATTATGTTTTTGCTTTAATTGCTTTGCACTGAGTATGTACATATTTATTTATGCATGCATATACACATGCATATTTACAAAATGTATGCATGGTCATTATCCATAGCAGTTTTAATAATATTTTCTGATATTCAGCATTTGATTTAATTGATTGTCTTTGGTATTTGTAGGGGAGGCTGACTTAATAAAGTAATTAATATTTCTTATATATATATTTAAATGTGTCTGAAGATAAATGGTAAAAATTATAACAAAAATAAATGTAAACCTCTAAAAAAAATTTTTATTATGTTTTATTATGTTATAAAATCAAAAAAAAAAAAAAAAAAAAAAAAGAAATGTTTTTTTTCAATATTAAAATACATTATAAATTATATACAATTTTTTTTTTACAATTATTTTATTTAATTATTTATTTATACATACATATATCATATATTATTATATAATATATCTTATTAATTTTTGTTTATTAAAAAAAAAAGGAAATATTTACATATGTTTTTAATAATTATCCAGCTTTGGGATTCAAAAATCTAGTTTTCAATATTTCAAGATGTTTAAAATTCTTGATTCGTTACTTACTCAGGCATAAATTCTTAAATACTAAATTTAGTTGCCTGCAAAATAAAATTCCAAACTCTAACGTAACTTGAAACATTAAAGCTTTAAATTCATATATACTTACATATATATATATTTATATATGTATATTTATACTAATTTATTTATCTATATATATTATGATTATAAATTGCATTTTGCAGGGAAGTCTGGCCAGAGGAGGATGTCTTTGGCTCATATACCGCCGCACCGGAGGATGAATTGTTGCTGCTACGCGAGATTTTCATGCACAACATTACAACAGGTGAGTGTAGATATATATGTGTGTGACTGTGTGTGTTTTGTGTGAGGATGACTGAGCGTGACCAAGTCCGGTTCAGCTCGGCTCGATTTCAGCTTGTTAATTATGTTTTATTGTAATGCATTATGAAGCGACATGCTGGTTGGGCTTTTAATTAAAAATGAAAATCTGCCACTTGGCATTTGCGTGTCATTTATCTTGCATGCTCCCCCCTCACCCTCGTGCCCTCTCTTTCTCTCTGCTCTCTGACTGCATGTGTCTGTTATCTATTTCTCTCTATCTCTGTTTCTCTCGGCTAATTGTAGCGCTCCATTTTGCATTTGGACTCTATAAATTTGTTGGCTTGAAATAAGCCAAATTATAGCGCAAAGTTTCAGCAACGGCTTACTTACTCTCTCGCTCACTCTCGCTTTCTCCCTAGATGTCTCTCTGCCTTCGCCTGCCTTCTTTCCCTTTTCTCTCAGCCTGTCTGTAGCCTTGTTGCACTGTGCCTGCTGCTGTTCTAAGTTTTTATATAGTATACTCGCCTGTGATGTGTATAGAGTATATTGGGTTTATACATATTGAAAGGCAGATCTTGGGACTAAATTCTTAAATATTAAAGTAGACTTTAATCACTTTAGACCTACTTTATAAATCGATCTTACATATAAAAAAGTAGGCATGGCAAGTCAAGTAACAAGACTTTTATAGCTGATTTTACCAACTTCTCCTATTCACATTAACTTTACACTTACAGACCTATAAGCCAAGTCATTCGACTTTCTCCATATTTCAGCTGATATTGAATCGTGAACGAGTATTATGTAGTTGGCTGCGACCCGATTGCAAGTTTCTTAGTTATTTTATGTGCGCTTTGGCTCCTTGTGGCTTTTTGCCTTTTGGCTGTCCTGCGCTTAACAAATTATCCAGCTGAAATTCTTGCGCTTCATTAAAAGTAAAAAATGGCAGCACAGGACGACTGGCCAACCTACAGCGGCTCCTGCAGCCAGTGTCCTGTGCCCTATACCCAGTTTCCTGCTCCCTTTCACTCCTTAATTCGGCAGTCAAAAGCGTCTCTGCTCAGCCAAATGAAAATATATTAAATGCGTAATTGTTTCTTTTTTCGCGTATTTGTTTTTTGTTTCATTTTGAATGCTCTGCCAAGTGCATTGGGTTGTAAAATTTGTTGTTTGCGTTTGTCGCTTCATTCGATGGGAAGTTTTCTCTATTTAGCTTTGGCTTACGCAATTCATATGCCAACATGACTTTTCTATTTTCGGGTGATTTTCCATTTATTATATACGTATATATATCAAACTTTTGCATTCTATTTGCAGCTCAAAGTTGGCACCTGCCACTCTCACAGATCTCTACACACATACATACATATGTATATATTATATATCCCTTATATTTATATATGTATATTCTATATGACTTATCGCTGTCGATGCACCTTGCAGCGCACTGAAAAAGTTTCTGACAAGCGTTTTAGAACACATCCATGGCTGACAGTTTTCCTCTTTTCTTCTTCTGCCACTAGTTTCTCTCTGTTTTTTTTTTCTTTCCTGCTAAAATATGAGCACATATGCAGCAGCTAGTCATACACAGATAATACTTTTTAGGGGTTAATGGGCATTGCGGAGTGAAAAGACCTTGGCAACGGCAAAGTTTCCAGCTTTGCTGCACCTTGCAGATTATCTTTATTCCCTTTTATATATATATATATATATAAATATATATACCTTTTTTTGAGTGTAATTTATGATTGTAGTTTTTGCGCAAAAGTTTGGAAAGTTGTTTTTATTTTAAATATTACATTTTTATACATTTATATATTATGTATTTAAGTGCTTATAAAAAGCATACAGCTGAGGAAATCTGCTTTTAATGCGAGCCTAGGTTGCTAAAATTGGTTAAATTTGAGTAGAAATTATAATGAAACAACACCCTTCTCTGCGATTCTCATAATTTAAAGTTGTTACCAGCTACTTATGCCTAGATTCCCGCGAATTAACAAACTTTATTCCCTGTTAAACATATTTTTCTCCGAAGAGCTCTTCATAGTTTTCTCTTCATTATTTTTTCCTGTCTTTTTCATTTGCATAACTTAAAGCCAACGGAAGTAATTCGATGCGTTATTTGAATATTGAGTGCGTTAATAAAGGCGCGAGTGCGTCTACACTGAAGTAGTTTCAACTAGTTTAGCAGCTGCTGCTGCCTGTGTTGCTCCCGTCTGCTGTCTCCTGTCCAACTGTCGCTCAGTCAGTTTGTTTGTAGCTTGAAGCGCCGATATACTCCGTGTCCAGCTTTTGTCCCGGTGTCCAGATGAAAGGGAACACGTTTAGCTCAAAGCGTTGCCAACCCTTTATTGTGTCTGCGCCATTGTTTGAAGCTTTTGAGCTCGTTAAGCCCCAGACGTAAAGCGCACCTCCTTCTAGCCGCCACGCTGGGGATTTGCTGGCCAGCTTAGCGCCCCGGGGCCAGCCAATAGATTGATGGTCGGTTGACAGTTAACCAGTCTAAAAAAAAGAAAAATGCCAAATATACATCCATGTGTGTGAGTGAATGAGTGTGTGTGTGTGCGTGGTGTGTGTTGCGTATAAAAAAGGCACTAATTCTTATTAGAGAAGTGGTTTCGACTAGGGAATGTCCACTTGCATGAGCAGTTGGAGCGCCTTCATTAATTTTAATTTAATAAATTTTTTTTATTAAAAAAATTAATATTTATATGTAAGAAATAGGAAACGAAAAATATATACAAATTTATAAATTTATTGAAAATATATACTTATGTATAAAGATATAAATTTATATATTTCTAAATATATAAATATTTAATATACAAATCACAAGTGTCAAAAATATACTTTGCAACAATCCAAATAAATTATTTGGATTTTTTTTTTTTAATTTTTTATATTTATTTATTTTATTTTATAATATTTACCTTATCAAAGTATTCAAATTTCGTGCGTGATATTGCATAAAAGTAGCAAAGGATTCATTCAGCTTTACTTGCGATGCAGACAGTGGACAAATATTTAAAGCCAATAAACATAAAATGTTTGCTGAATGCTCTAGGGTATTTGAATAATACAAATATTAAATGTTGCAGCTAATGCGATGCCTGCGTCGCCAGCTCCCCGAAGTGTCCTTTGAGCGGTTCAGTCTGGGATTTTATTAATTACCAGCGACCACAAACTGCATGCTGCATGTT